TTGGATGCCAAAGCTGATGCTTCAATAAAGCAGGAATAGTTTGAGAAATCCCATTCAATGAAAGAATGGGAGAACTCTTTTCCCATTGAAGCCCAGCTGCTGGATGACCTCCCTGGGCAAAGGCTGGGGTTAATATACCCCTAGCCGTGCCCACCTCCCTTCCCATGAGGCCCCGGGGGAAAGGGAGTAGCCCAATCCCATAAGGTATAAAGGCTCTGGGAGCAGAAGCACCTGGTTTGCATCTCTGATTTAAAAATCAGGATGGGTGAAGAGCCTGACAAAGAAAAGGACTCTTAATGAGAGCAGGTATTGTAGTTGGTATTGGATTTAGTATTCGAATTTGTATTTGGGATTGTATCTTGTAAGAAAATGAGAGCCATTCCCTTCAGGAAAGAAAGCCTATAGCTTTTGGGTGTCAGGTGCAGGTGAGAAAACTTTCTATATGTGTGGAAAGGGTTTTGTTAGCTTGCCGGAGCCCTGCACTGAAACTGCACCTGACTCACAAAGGCTAGAGCCTTTCTTTCCTAGGGGAAAGAGTGTCGGTTGCTTTCGGAGCCCAGCAACGAAACAGCAGGTCTAACTCCCAAAATTAGCATGAAGTCCCCTCCCTGCACAGCTCCGCCGCTCGCAGAGGGTAGGAATCCCCGGTACAAAAGGTCCCCCACGGTGCCCGGGGGGTGTGTCCGGAGCCCCCCGGAGTCCCTCAGAGCCCCCATCCCTGCCAAGGACACATGGGCTGTGTTCCTGCCTTTCCTGGCAGGCGCCCCTCCCTGCCGGGAGAAGCCTCGCCTGGCACCGGGAGATGGCTGCGCGGCTGAAGCGCTGCGGGGGGTGGCAGCGGGAGCTGGAACGGCTCGGGTTGGGGGCTGGAGCGGCTCGGGGCGGGCTGCAGCGAATGGCGGGGGCTGGAGCGGCTCGGGGGGGGGGGGCCGGGGCGAGCGGGGGGGGGGGGGGTGGGGCGTGGGGTGGGGGCTGGGGCGGCTGGGGGGGGGGGCTGGAGCGGAACGGCGGGGGCTGGAGAAGCGCGGCGGGAGCTGGAGCGGCGCGGTGGGGGTTCGAGCGGCGCGGGCTGGGGCAGCGCGGCTTGGCCGCGTCCTACCTGCGGGAGCTGCGGGACAAGGGTGATCCTGGCGGTACCGGAACGAGGCGCGGGGGGACCCGGAGGGAGCCCTGGGGATGCCGGGACCCTCCCGCGGTGCTGGGCTGAGCCCCCGGGGCTCCCAGGGCGCTTCGCGACGGGGGATGTGGAGTGATGTAATAACGAGAATCAGGAAGTGCTTCCACGGACCCGCGCCCGGTTCGGGGGCTGTGCCGAGGTTTGAACCGGGAAAGAGCCACTGTCTTGCAGTGAGGACCAGGGGAAATGGCCTTACAATAAGAGTGGGGAGATTCGGATTAGAGATTAGGAAAAAATTGGGTGGTCACGCATTAGAATAGGTTACCCAGGGAGGTGGTGGAGTCACCGTTGCTGCAGGTGTTCCAGAGGTGTGTGGATCTGGCGCTGGGTGACGGTTTAGGGGTTACAGTGGCAGTATTTGGTAATAGTTAGACTGGGATGCCGAAAAACCCGTTAGGAAAAACTGCTCAGAGGCTTTTGTATCTTTAAACAGCAAGGTATTTGTTTATTCGACGTTGGGAACAAGGGCTGAACCTCAGGCTATCAGGTGCAGTTTGTGGGCCAGCCTGACACTCCATGGGCAGCAAGAGCTCTGTCCTGGCACCTTTTGTCTGGGAGGAATCTTAATCCGTATTCAGTTTTGGAAGTCGGACTGGCAGTTGCAGTGCGGGGCTGAAACAAGTGAACAACACCCCTTATCCCCAGGAATGAAAGCCCATATCCTTTGGCTTTCAGGTGCAATTGGTGGTCCAGCCTGAGGACTCCATGGGTAGCAAGAGCTTTCTGTGGTGGCACATTTTGTCTGAGAGGAATCTTCGTCCTTATTCAATTTGGGCAGCTGGACTGGCAATTTCAGCTCTAGGACTCCTGCAAGGTAACCTCAGCCCTTTTCCCCCAGAAAGAAAACTCTGACCTTCACGTTTCAGGTGCAGCCTGGGCCAGCCTGGGCACTCCATGGGCAGCAAGAGCTTTCTGTGGTGGCACCTTTTGTCTGGGAGGAATCTTTGTTTGTATTCAATTTTGGGACTTCTATTGGCAATTTCAGCACAGGATTCCTGAAAGCCAACAACAGCCCTTATCCCCAGGAAAGAAAGCCTGTATTCTTTGACTTTCAGGTGCAGTTGGTGGGCCAGCCTGGGCACAAACCTGAACTCAAAGACTGACTGAAATGACCCAAATCTCACCCAAAACTCCCCAAAAAATGATCTGAAACTAACCAAATCTCCCCAAAAAATGACCCCAAACTCTCCCAAATCTCCCCAAAAAATGAACAGAAACTGACCCAAATCTCCCCAAAAAAAGAACAGAAACTGACCCAAATCTTCCCAAACAATGAACAGAAACTGACCCAAATCTCCCCAGAAAATGAACAGAAACTGACCCAAATCTCCCCAGAAAATGAAGAGAAACTGACCCTAATCTCCCCAGAAAATGAACAGAAACTGACCTTAATCTCCCCAGGAAATGAACAGAAACTGACCCAAAACTGACTGAAATCTCCCCAAGATATGACCAAAAACTGACTCAAATCTCCGCAAAAAATGACCCAAAACTGACTCAAATCACCCCAAAAAATGACCCCAAAACAAACCAAAATCTCCCCAAAAAATGACCCCAAAACAAACCAAAATCTGCCCAAAAAATGAACAGAAACTGACTCAAATCACCCCAAAAAATGACCCCAAATTGACTCAAATCTCCCCAAAAAATGAACAGAAACTAATCCAAATCACCCCAAAAAAAGACCCAAAACTGACTCAAATCTCCTCAAAAAATGAACAGAAACTGACCTAAATCAACCCAGAAAATGATGTAAAAATCCAAAACTGCCTCAAATCTTCCCAAAAAATGATCAGAAAGTGACTCAAATCTCCCCAAAAAATGACCAGAAACTAATCCAAATCACCCCAAAAATGACAAAAATCTCCCCAAAAAATGACTAGAAATTGACCCAAATCATCCCAAAAAATTACGAGAAATGGACGAAAATCTCGCCAAAAATGACGAGAAACTGAACAAAATCTCCACTAAAGGTGACCGGAAACGAACCCAAATTATCTCAAAAAGTGACCAGAAACTGACTCAAATCTCCCCAAAAAAGGACCCTAACCCTAACACTTAACCCTAACCCTAACCTAACCCTAACCCTAACTAACACACTCTGCCTAATTCTAGACACTAACCCTAACACAAACACTAACCCAAACCCTAACCCTAACCCTAACTAACCCTAACTAACCCTAACCCTAAGCAGACACCCAAGAGAAAAAACAAACGATACTGACAGCGGTGGGCAGTGAATTGGCCTTATAGCCCAAGAGGGGCTTATTGGGCACTGCTGCGTGTCTGGAATGGGCTAAACCGCGATTCTTAAATCGCGCTTCGAGACACACTCTGCCTAATTCTAGACCCTAACCCTAACCCAAACCCTAACCCAAACCCTTCCTAACCCTAACCCTAACTCTAACACACACTGCCTAACTCTAGACCCTAACCCAAACCCTAACCCTAACCCAAACTCTTCCTAACCCTAACCCTAACTCTAACACACATTGCCTAACTCTAGACCCTAACCCTAACCCAAACCCTAACCCTAACCCAAACGCTTCCTAACCCTAACCCAAACCCTAACCCTAACACTAACCCCCAGTCCACAGAGTTTGAGACGACACTTTGATGGTTGGTGGACATTACTTTGTTAATTCCTAGAATACTCATCAGGATGTAGCCTCTGGAGCAGGACAATCCACTCCATGGTGGGATAATCCAAAAAGAAGAGAGAGAGAGGAGCTCAGGGAGGGGTTGGCAGTCAGGGAAGGGGGAAGTTGAGGGGTTCCTGGGCTTCTTAGGCTGGCATTGCCCCTCTGCCAGGGGGATGCTCCATTTTAGGATGCTCTGCACCAGCAGGATGTAGGACACGGAGTTGGTCAACCATTTTAACAGTCATAGAACTCTGCAAGGAGGGAGAGAGAGGAGCTCAGGGGGTGTCCCCAACCAGGAGAGGTGGGATTTGGCGGGGGGGTGCTCACCGGGAAGAAGACGTGCATGAGGAAGAGGAGCAAGACTGCCACCAGTGCCAGCCCGGCCCAGCCGCAGTAGCGCCAGCGGATCCCATAGCGCAGGAGGCGGAGCGGGGATTGCAGCCACAGGAACGAGGACTTGGAGCGCCTGCGGATCACAGGGAGGTCAGACACCCCACCCCTGATCTCCCTCCCCACATCCCCATGCTCCTTCCCAGAACTCACCTGGGTGCCGGCAGCGTTGGGTATTTATTAGGCTCCTCCCGCCCTTTCCCCGCCGGCCGCTCCTCGGCCTCCTCGGCTGTCAGCAGCTCCAAGCTCAGCTCCAGCTTCCCCTGGAGGGATTGTGGGGGCAGCTGGGATGCAGAGCGTGTCCCTGCCCTCCTCCATCGTGGCTGCCCCCCATTATCCCGACATTCCCAACCTACAGAGAGCCACTGGGCACCGTCCTCCTGCATCATGCAGGGCCACCAGCCCCGCGTCCGCCGCATTCGGAACAGGTTGATTGAGGAGGGGGCCAGGGCTGGGGTCCTGCACCAGGGCCAGGGGACACTGTGGTGCTCCCAGGACATGGCCCTGCACAGCCTGGGGGTCAGAGCTGGGTAGGGCAGCTTGGTCAGGTTCAGCTCCAGGACACCTGTGGGGAAAGGCAAGGAGGGAGAGTTCCCATCACCAGTGGGAGCTTCCCATCACCAGTAGGTGCTCCCCTTCCCCAGCAGATACTTTTCATCACCAGTGGGTGCTCCCTGTCCCCAGTGGATGATTCTCATCATCAGTGGGTGCTCCCTGTCACCAGTAGGTGATTCCCATCATCTGTGGGTGCTCCCTGTCACCAGTGGGTGCCCCCCAACCCTCTGGAAGTCCAGGGGCAGGAAAATGGGGTCTCACCCAGAAGATCATCTGCTTTAAACTTGTCATTGTCCCACACTTGGAGGATGAGTTTGGGTGGCACCTTCAGCACTGTCTTGTCCAGGCTCCAGACGTGCTCCTGGGGAGGGGGAAAGGGGGGTCATGCTTGTCACACTCGGGAGTGTCCTCTGTCACCCCAGGGTTCCCATCACCCATCCCCAGGGCCCCTGTCCTCCCAGGGCCACCCCCAGGTTCTTTGTCACCCTGGGGTCCCCATCACCCAATCCTGGGGTCCCTGTCACCCCAGGGTCCTCATCATCCATCTCTCGAGAACCTGTCCCCCCAAGGCTATCCCCAGGTTCTCTGTCACCCCAGAGTCCCTCTCACCCCAGGTGCCCATCACCCACTCCTTTGGTCTCTGTCACCCCATGCCCCCCTCCTTCCCCCCCCTCTCTCTGCCCCCACCCCATGCCCCCCTCCTTCCCCAGTCTCTCTGTCCCTAATCCCGGGGTGTCCCCCCACCCTGCGGCCGATGACACAGAGCTTCTCAGCCACCAGGAACTCGAAGGGGAACAGGAAGCGCCAGTTGAAGGCACCGTGTCCGTCCCGGGAGCGGTAGTGGATGTCTGTGTGCTGCCGCTGCTCAGGGAGACCATCCAGCCACCTGCAGGGACGTAGAGCACTGCCAGGGGGCACAGGGGACTGGGGGTGGGGATACTGGGCTGACAGGGAATCTGAGAATGGGCACCTTGGTGTGAGAGGGAGGCTGGGAATGGGGACCCTGGGGTGACAGAGAGTCTGGAGATGGGGACTCTGAGCTGACAGAGACCCTGGTGTCACAGAGAGACTGGGGATGGGGACACTGGGGTGGGTGATGGGGATCCTGGGGTGACAGAGAACCCCAAGTGGGTGATGGGGACCCTGAGGTGACAGGGAAACTGGGGATGGGGACCCTGGGTTGAGTGAAGGGGACCCTGGGGTGACAGGAAGAACCTGAGCACAGGGACACGGCTATCACAGCTGGGGGCCATGGGGGGACTGGGGATTAGGACACTGGGGTGACAGGGAACCTGGGGATGGGGATCTTGGGGTGGTGGAGAACCTGGGATGTGTGAAGGGGACCTTAGGGTGACAGTAATCCCAGGAGTGAGTGATGGGAATACTAGGGTGACAGAGAACATGGAGAGAGAGACACAGGGACCCCGGGGGTGAGTGATGGTGGCCCTGGGGGGGGGGGGAGAACCGGGGGGGGGGGACGATGGAGTGACAGGGAGCATGGGGCTAGGGGATGGGGACTCTGGGTGACAGAGAACTTGGTGATGGGTGATAGGGATACTGGGGTGACAGGGACCCCAAGAGTGAGGGATGGGGATACTGGGATGATAGGAGAACCTGGGGGTGGAGACTCTGGGGTAACAGGGAACCTGGGGATGGGGACCTTGGGATGATGTAGAACTTGGTCATGGGGTGACGGGGACCCTGGGGTGACAGAGTCTGGGGATGGGGACCCTGGGATGACAAGGACAGATGTTGGGGGGTGACAGGGACCCCACAGTGATGGGGACCTGTTTTGGGGGCACACACGTGTGCCCTGTGCTTACCCAGTCACATAGATGTCACTCATGCGCTGCCCCAGCAGGTTGGTGTCCCCGAAGTCTGTGTCCCGCACATTCCACACCACACAACGCAGCTCATACCTGGGGGGAACAGGGCAGTGTCCCTGTCTGCCGAGGGATAGCTGCCCCAACCCCCCCAGAGCCACTCACCTCTCAGCCTTGCGGGGGTCGATGTTCACAGGGGGCCCAGGGGGTCCGAGGTTGGAGGGGAAAATGTCAACCCACATCTGCAGTTTGCCCTGTGTGGGGCATGAGGGGATTGGGAATGGACACCTCAGGCGCCCCTTGGTCCTGGGGGACCCCATCACCCACCCCTAGGGTCCCTGTCACCCCAGGGTCCTCATCCCAGGCTCTCAGTCACCCTGGAGTCCCCATCACCCATTCCCAGGGTGGGTCACATCCCCCTGGGTGCCCATCATATCCCTGCACCCCAGCATCCCTCCCCACCTGGAGTTCTGCATCATTGTGAGGTTCTATCACCCCAGTCCATCTGTCCCTGTCACCCCAGGGTCCCCATCATCCACCCCCAGGTTCTCTGTCATGTCAGTGTCCCCATCACTCACCCTTGGGATTCCTGTCACGCCAGGGTCCCCATCACCCACTCCTGGGGTCTCTGTCACCCCAGGGACCCCATCCCCAGGTTCCCTGTCACCCCAGTGTCCCCATGCCTGTCCCCATGTCCCCCCCCACCCATGGTGCCGGTGCCCACCTGCTCGAGGCCGGGCTGGGCACTGTTGTAGAGGGGCCGTGTCTCCAGGTGCTCAGGTACAAAGGGGCACAGGTTGAGCACATGCAGGGCCAGGCGCTCCCGGGGGGGCCCGGGGTGGCGGAATGTGGGGGGGCCACTCTCTGCACAGGGACCGGCACAAGTGGGACAGGGCCCAGACACACCCCCAGATCCCCCTCAGACTCCACCCAGACCCCCCCAGACTCTCCTCACCCCTCAGACCCCTCCAGACCCCCCGCCCCAGTCCCCTCCACACCTCTTCCACATGCCCCCAGACTCTCTCAAGCCCCTCCCAGACTCCCACCCCACCCCCTCCACACCCCCCCAGACCCTCTCAGTCTCCACCCAGTCCCACTCCGTACCCCCCCAGTTCTCTCCCCAGTCCCCCCAGCCCCTCCTGGACCACCCCAGCCCCTGGACCCACCAAAGTGCCTGAGGAGGAAGGTTCGGTGGTTGAAGGTCACAGCCAATCCGTCGGGGCTGAACTCAGGGGTGGGCAGCCCCCGGGTGACAGCGACGAGCTCCAGGGTCCTGCTCGGGCACAGCTGATCCCTCCAGGCTGCAGGGCCCGCGCTGAGGGGCAGAGGATGGGCAGGGGGCTGTGAAACCTCCCCACCAGCTGTCCCCCCTGTGCCCTCTCCTATGTATACCCCCTGTGCCATCCCACTGTGTCCATTCCCATCCCTCATTCTCATCCCTGTGCCCACCCCAGCACTACCCCTATGTGCCCACCATCCTCCTTGTGCCCTCTAATCCTCCTTGTGCCCCCCCGCCCCTCTGTGCCCCCATCCCAAGCTTCTTGTGCCCACCCATTCCCACTCTTGTCCTCATCCACTCGTTGATTCCCTGTGCCCATTCCCAAGTGCCCACCCTATTCCTACCCCTCTGTGCCCCCCATCTCCCTGTGCCCCACATCCCTCTGTGCCCCCTCATCCCTCTTCTCACCTCCTTCCAATCTCCCTGTGCTCCCCTATCCCCCTGTGCCCACCCCATCCCTGTCTCCACTCACTCCCTAACTCTCTCCCTGTGCCCATTCCCAAATGCCCACCCCATCCCCCCATGCTCCCCCATGGTACCCACATGTGGTGCAGGGTGGGCAGCCCGCAGTGGGCGCGGTGGTTGGACAGCAGCCGGTTCTCCAGGTCGATGGAGGTGCTGCCGATCTCCTGGTCCGGGGGGAGCCGGTCACGGTCCAGCAGCGTCACCTTCAGGTCCTTCTCCAGGGGGATGGTGGCCGTCATCTCAAACATCCTGAGGGGGGGGGGTGGAACGGCATCTGCACTGGGTCATGTGGGCTGGGGGGCACCCCGACCCCTCCCAGAGCCCCTCATATCCCCCCAGAAAACCAACAACCCCCAACTCCCCAGACCCCCACCCAGACCCACCCCCAGACACACCTAGACCTCCCCCAGACCCTCCGAGATTCTTCCTAGACCCCCCCAGATCCTTCCAGAAACTCCACAGACCCCTCCCATATCCCCCAAAACAACCAACTCCCGACCCCCCGCAGACCTCCCTGACCACCTTGAGACTCCCCTACACTCCTCCAGACTCACCCTGACCCCACTCAGATGCCTCTCAGACCCCTCCAAACCCCATCCAGATCCCCTCAGACCCCCTCATTTCCACCTAGACAACCAGCCCACATCGAGCCCCCGCAAGATCCCCATCCAGACCCACCCTCAGACATCCCTAGACCTCCCCTAGACCCACCCAGACCACTCCCAGACTCCCCACAGACTCTCACAGATCCCACTCAGACCTTTCCAGACCACCCCAGACCATTCAGACCCCTCCAGAACCCCCCAGACCTCACCTAGATCCCCCCCCAGCTCCTTCCAGAACCCCCCAGATTCCTCCCATATGCCCCCAGACAACCAATCCCCCAACCCCCCCCCAATCTCCACCCAGACCACACCCAGACCCCCCTAGACCCCCCCAGACCTCTCCCAGACCCCTCCAGATGCTCCCAGACCCTCCCCAGACCGCTCACACCCCCCAGACTCCTCCAGACCCCACCCAGATCCCCTCGGACCCTTCCATATCCCCCCAGAAAACCAACCTTTCTGACCCCCCCAGATCCCTCCCCCAGACTTACCCAGACCCCCCACCCCAGCCCCCCTTGAGATTCCCTCCCCTAGACTCCTCCAGAGCCACCCAGACCCCCCTCAGATATCCCTGTCAGACCTCACCCAGTCTTACCCAGAACCACTGACCTCCCCCAGATCCACCTAGACCCCTCCCAGATCCCACCAAGACATTGTGTAGGGTCACCCGCTGGCTTGGTGAGTGGGGACCCACAGGCACGGGGAGCTGGTGGCACCAGGATCCACCAGCACAAGGAATGGGATACCCAGTGGAACAGGGACCCACTGGCAATGGGAAAGGGATATCTGGTGGAATGGGGACCCACCAGTATCAGGAATGGGACATCTGGTGGCATAGGGACCCTCCAAGATGGGAATGGGATATCTGCTGGCAGAGGGACCCACTGGCATTGGGAATGGGATATCTGGTGGCACTGGGATCCACCGGCATGGGGAAGGGGGACCTGGTAGCACAGGGACAGATTGGCACAGGGATGTGCTGACATGCAGAATGAGCCCCCATCCGCCCAGTACTCCCCTCCCATCCCTGTGCCACCCAGGGATGACTGTGCCCACAGGCCCCCTCAGCCCATCCTCACCTGCCAAACACGGGCTCCAGGGTATTGGGCACGTAGTGGTCCCGCTGGCCCAGGGTCCTCTTCCCCAGGGACACCCGGACATAGGGGTCACTCTAGCAGCAGGGAGGGCACAGTCAGGGTGGCACCAGGGCAGGGAGAGGGCAGGAGACCCCCCCTAGGCCCCCAGGGGTCCTTACCAGCCCAGTGACATCACAGGGGGACAGGTCGAAGGCCCGGACGATGTAGACCCGGACCAGGCAATCCTGGGGTTTGCTGGGGGGCAGCTGCTGGAAGTGCTGGGGGGGGGGGGGCCCCCCCAAGCCCCCCCGGGAGGGGGGAGGTAAAGAAAGGCCCCTGGGAGAGAATCCCAGCCGTGTACCCCTGGAGGGTCTCATGGCCCCAGCTCTGGGGTCCCACGGGGGGGGTCTCACTCACCTTGAACTCACCCACGGGCTCAGAATCCTGCCCAGGCACAGGGGGACCACCTGGTTTGTGGAGAGGGAAGGTCTGGCAGAAATCCTGAAGCCCCTGGAACTCGGGCACGGCCTCCAGCTCACAGCCATAGATCTGTGGGACCACGCCCAGCCTGGGATTTATCCCTGTTCTCATCCCTGTCACCCTCATCCCTGTCCTGTATTTATGCTTCTCCCCATCACAGACCTGTCCCCTTCTTCATCCTCATCCCCTTCCTATGTTTATCCCCATCCCAGCTTCATCCCTGTCTTCGACATCCTTGCAACTTCATCCCCATCATATCTTTATCCCCATCCCTGTCCCCTTCCCATCTTCATCCCCATCCTTGTCCTCTTGTTCAGCCCTGTCCTTGTCCTCATCTGCCTCCCTTCATTGTCCCTGTCCCTGTCCCCATCCTCCCTCCCTCCTAATCTCCATCCCTGCCCTTGTCCTCAGCCCGTTTCTATCCCTGTCCTGTCCCAGTCCCCACCTCATCTCCATCCCTATCCCCATCCTCATCCTGTTTCCATCATCCCTGACTCCATCCCTATCCCACTTTCCTCTCTGTCTCCATCTGTGTCCTTGTCCCCACTCACCCCTGT